GAGGAGTGGCTGGTGGGTTTGAACCGCCAGCCTTCTGGTTAGCAGTCAAGTGCTTTAGCCACTATGCTACCAGAGCTCCCACCTCACATATAGTATCTTAAAAAGGTTGACACACAAATATTTATTGAATGAATGATGGGGTTTAGTTATCCTGCCTTGGATTTATTTCTGTTTCTACTACCTTTATGTCTCCTTAACTTAACCCACATCTCAACTTCACTTATAGTAGTAAGGATGCTTTCACTAAAAATTTTGTTGTCCCATTATTTATTTGCCAAGTGAACAAACTAGTCAAATATTAATTTGTGTGTTCCTATATTTTTAAGTAGAGCAAGCTCTGTAACATAGATCTATTTTCCTTAACAGTCTTATTTCTATCTTAGTGCACAAACAGCGACTGCTTTTTTCCTGTCTCTTATGGTTGACCTTCATGTATTTCTTCTGGAAACTAGGGGATCCATTTCCCATTCTCAGCCCAAAACATGGTAAGTATGTGGCAGGGAAAAGGGAGTTGTTTAATTTTCTAATTTTGAAAAACTATTTTAAAACTTCTGATTTCGGGTCCTAGAACAGCAAGTTATTTCTCTAAAAAAAAAAATCTGTTTTAGAATAAAATTTTCTCCTTCATCCTAGGAAGGATCAATTGCTGATTTTGGAATAGACTTCTCTTGTTCTAGAGCAAGAGTTTTTGACCTTGTATTAGTAATAAACTTTAGGAGAGTAAGGTCAGAGAGGGTATCCTTAAGCCTCCTGATATTATATACAGAATTATGTGAATATATTTGTACATGCATTTGGAATAAGATAGCTATAAGCTCTTATCAGATCCCCAAAAGGGTCTGTGACCTAAAAGGTAAATGACCACAGGTCAAGTGATGATAAATATCATCTTTATGGGAGTGTGTGTATGTGGGGAAGGAGAGGAGCCATAAAACACTCACAAAAAATAGATTAAAACTTTCCAGAAATCAATCTCTCATCTCACAACAACTTCATTTTAAATATAAGAACAAGTCATGGGCAGAACCCTAATTTCCATGCTAAAAACAATGAATAAGAATCCTCAGCTAATATATTTCCAGAACTACTTCAGAAATATAAATGAATCTTTCTAAAATAGATTAGAGAGAGTCTGCCTGTTGAAATTTATTGCTGCTTCCATATTGCAGTTAAATACACACACACATACATATATATGTATATTCATTTTCTTATCTTGCTGTCACTACAGAAAAAAATCTACTCTACCTAAAGTAGAAAGTCACTTATTACAGGGTATTAGGCAATTTACAGAATGTGTAAGAAGGCAGGGATACCAAGCTTTCATTAGGCAATTCATAGATTTCTAGAAAAGCAGTGAAGAGAAACACTCAACCATGCCACCATACTTAACTACCACAGACCCCACTGAAGTCGTTACCTGCCACTCTAGACCTGTGACATCAGGGACCAGACAGTAGAACCTCTGCTTCAGCTGTTCCAGCTCCCAGATGCTGTCACCACCCCACATTATTCACTTCTGCCTTTGAGGTCTCACAAGGGCATATCAGTTTAATGAAACTTAACTGCAAGAACCTTAGCAGCAAGGAAGTCTGGGAAAAATAGCTTTTAGCTTTCCAAACTCTAGTACAAGAAGACATGTCACAGGGTGATTAGCATGAATTTTAAATGAATTGTCTCTTGTCAATTGCTGTTGAAGTGGATTCTAACTCATGGTAACCCTATGTGTTATAGAGTAGAACTAACTGTTCCGTAGAGTTTTCTTGACTGTAATCTTTATGGTGCAGTTCATCAGGCCTTTCTTTCTTCCACAGAGCCATCAGGTGGGTTTGAATTTTAGGTTAGCAGCTGATTGCAAGCAAACTACTTGTACCAGCAGTAGATGAGCACAAACCATTTGTGCCACCCAGCGCACACACACAAAAAAAAATGAAGTTGATTTTGGCTCATAATGATACTATAGGACAGAGTAGAACTGCCCCATAGAGTTTCCAAGGCTGTAATCTTTATGGAAACAGACTGCCACATCTTTCTCATGTGGTGCAGCTAGTGAGCTCAAACAGCCAACTTTTTAGTAAATACCTGAGTGCTTTAACTGCAACACCCTAGGGCTTCTTTGGCCATTAATAAAAGATATTAATTGCTCCCACCTGGATGTACTTGTATCACCTATGAAACAATTACTTGTTTCTTTTTCTGACTTTCCACTAACCTATAAGCTACTAAACTACATCTTAATTATCTTTATGTCCCTAGTATCTAGCATGAAACCTGGCACATAACAAGTACTTATTACATGTTTATTAATCAGTAAATGGGAAAAAAAAAATTTTTTTCGAGACCCTCTGAGGTATTAGATAAGGAGCATAGTGGCATAGTGGGTAAGGCATTGGGCTACTAACCAGAAGGTTGGTGGTTCAAACCCACCGACTGCTCCATGCATGGGAGGAAGATGATGCTATCTACTCCTGTAAAGATTTATAGCCTGGGAAACCAATAGGCGTTGCTATGAGTTGGAATCGACTCAATGGCAGTGGGTTGAGTTTGGTTTGGAAGTGTTAGATAGGTTCAAGAATTTAAGGCAAGTGTTACCTAAACACATTCTAAAACATTCTGCTTTTATAGTATTTTCTAATGTGCCAGCATGCTCATTGGGAAAGATTTGGAGTAAAGAGACCCCTGATTTATAGCTCTTGTATAAACCTATTTCAAATAAGCCTATAGAGACAAATTTGTTTGTGATGTTGGGAGTGAGGAAGAAGAGGATAAAAAGACCCACCTGAATCATTCCAGGGCTTCTGCCAGTGGCAGTACAAGATCACATGCTATCCTAAAACCTGACTCTGACACCTTTCTCCAGAAGCAGTCCACTCACATGACCAGCACAGTCAGGCCATGCCAGAGGGAAGCTGAGGACCATCACATCTACTGTGCCTCACATCCATCTCCTTTTCAAAATTCCATGGGAAAATTCTGAAGAGGATGCTGAGGGAAAGAGCTAGGGAGATAGTTTCAGTTTTAGGCTTTCCTTTGTACACCAGTCAGTAGGTATTCAAGTTTTTGTATGAATGTTCAGTCATCTTAATTTTTTTGATCCTCTAAAGGAAGTAAGTAGAAAGAAACGTTTAGACAGTGGCTGAAGAACAGCCTGGCTTAAACTGCCATCTTAGAGTGTTCCCAGGACTGTCCAAACAATCAGTATAGTTTATTGTTGTGGAGACCACAAAGAACTATGAGACCCAATTCTTATCTATAATAAAAAAAAAGAAGTCTGTAAATGTACTCCATGTGCAGTGCCTGACTGTGCAAAGTTGAAGACATTCCATAGTGGGAAAGAGTAAGAGAGGCCAAGAATATAAGACGAAAAAGACTCTGTGTGAGCAGATGCACAAGGTAAGATAACTTTCTGCAAGCCCCCTTATCCATCTGACCTTCTATATATTAACTAGTAAACAGGAATAATGTAGTCCCTGGGTAGTGCAAATACTAATACATAGACTACTAGCCAAAAAGTTGACAATTCGAGCCCACCCTCTGATGCCTCAGGAGACAAGTCTGGCAGTCTGTCTTGGAAAAGTCACAGACAGATATTAATATTTAATAACCTTTATTAATCCCTTGGATTTTTTTTTTGTCATTGGGTGATAATTATGTACCCACAGTCAACAAACATTTGTTGAACACCTTCTATGTACCAGGCAGTAAGAAAACAGATCAATAAGGCATTATTCCTTCCTGTAAAAGGAATGCAAATTCAAGAGATATTTGGAAAATAAAATCAACAGAATTTAGATGGGGCTTATCTATTCATTTAGCATTCCACAACTATTTATTGCATACCTACTTTACTGAAAATACAACCATGAATAAAGCAAATTTGGTTTCTGCCATCCTGAAGTGTATAGTGTGGTAAGGTGAGACTAGATAATGAAGAGGTAGATATATAAATTAATAGTTACCAGTTGTGATCATTGTCATGAAGGAGCAAACAGGTTTCTGTGATAGAGAATAATGCAGATAAGGATGTCAAATTTAGTACAAGTGGTCAGAGTCAGTCTTTCTGAAGAAGTGATGCTTAATTGAGATTTAAAGGACAAGACCAAAGAAAGACCTACCAAGAAGGTACAAGAGACATGTGAAATTCTGAGGTAGAAAAGACCTTGGCGTATTCATGGAGGATGAGACAGGGAATGGAGACTAGGAGTATAAAGTTATTTTTTATTTTGGTGACTAGATAGTTCATAGTGTCGCTTTCTACGATAAGTAATGCAGAAGAAAGAGCAAGTTGAGAGTTGAGGGGGAAGATCATTTCAGTTTGAGATATGTTCAGTTGGAGGTGCCAATGCCCATCAAGGTGATATTTACTAGGCAATTGGATACACAAGTAATTGGATACATGAGGAGCTTAGGAAAAAAGTATAGACTTTCAGTCTACATGGTGGTGAATCCAAGAATCTAAACAATTAGAAATTGTCAGCTAAGTACCAGTTGATGAAGCTGGGGAATGAGCAAGATTGCCCAAGGAAAATGTATAGACTGAAATGAAAAAGAGAACTCTGGCTCATGCAGAGAAAAGGCCAAGGAAAGGCAACTAGACAAGTGGGAGAAGGAAGCCTAGGGAAATGGTACTGTGAAAGAAAGAAAGAAAAATGATTTAAACAGAAAGGATTCAGTGCCATAAAAGATAAAGTAAAACAAAGATTGTAAGATGTTATTGAATTTTGCAAATAGGAAAAAATTCATGACCATAGTGTGGTAAAGGTTAAGAGCCCAGACTCTGGAGCTAGTCTGTCTGGGTTTGAATCCTGACTCTGCCACTTATTAGTTGTGTGACCTTTACTAAGATGTTAACCTCTGTGTCTCAGTTTCCTCCGCTGTTAACAGGGTTTTCAGGAATAGCTGCCTCATAAAGTTGTAAGGATTAAATGAGTTAATGCTTCAAACAGTGTCTGGTATATAATAGATGCTTAATAAATGTTACCTATTATATCGCCATTACTATCATAAGTGAAAAGGAGCTCTGGTGGTGCAGTGCCTAAGACATTTGACTGCTAGAAGGTTGGAGGTTCAAACCCACCAGCCACTACACAGAAGAAAGATTCCATAAAGATTTACCACTTCTGAAACCCAATGGAGGTTGCTTTGAGTCAGAATCAATTCGATGACAGTGAGTTTGTTTTTGTTTTTTGTTTTGTTTTTGTTATTATGAGTGAAAGCAATTTCATTCAGTATAGAAAAGTAGGATAAAGGCTGGGTTGCAGCCAGTTGAGCAATGAATGGGAGGTGAGGTAGAGGTGGCAGTAAGTGTAAACTCTTTGAGAAGCTTAGCTTTAGAAGGGGAAATAGGGGGATTAGTACCTCAAAGTACACTCAAGCTAAGGACAGACTTTTTCTTAGAAAAAAATACTTGAAACTGAAAGAATGAGCAAGCAAAAAGGAAAGATTAAAGATAAGGAGAAGACAGGTGATGGTGCAAGATTCTGGGGTAAATGGAAGAAGAGTAATCAAAAGTACAAGTGAAGAAAGCATTAGAGACATACCATCTTCTCCTGAGGCAAGAAAGTTAGAAGGATGATTGCAGATGTAGATATTTTTAGATAGAGTAAAGGTAATTTATACCTAATATTTTATTTCTTACATAATAAAAGGATTTGCTAAGGACAAGTACAAACTAAACCAACTCATTGCCATCAAGTCCATTCTGATTCATAATGGCCCTATGGGACAGAGTTGAACTGCTCCATAGGGTTTCCAAGGCTGTAATCTTTATGGAAGCAGATTTCCTCATCTTTATTCCAGAGAGTGACTAGTGGTGTCAAACTACCAACCTTTGAGTTAGTGGCTGAGCACTTTAACCATTACACCACCAAGGCTCCTCAATGACAAGGGTAAGAAAAAGGGTTTTAAGGAGTAGTTACTGAGAGGAATGGGAAGACATGGCTGATCAAGGGCAAGAGAAGAATTAGTAGTGTTGTGAGCTCTACTGAAATTGGAAACCATAAATTTCTAATGGCACCAATATCATAATGCGTTTTAACATTAAAATGTTAGTGATCTAGTCAGCTCAGGGATGGGCACAGAGAAGATAAGGTGTTAGTTGTTCCACCCTTGGGGGTTTGTGAAATGACTGTTTCAGAAGTAAGAGAACAGGGAACTGAAAGTGCTGACATTGTTGTTATGTGCCGTTGAGTCAGACCTGACTCATAGTGACCACTCCTTGGGTTTCTATGGCAGTATCACTACAGAAGTAGATTGCCCAACTTCCCTTCCGAGGGGTGGCTGGTGGATTTGAACCGCCAGCCTTCTGGTTAGCAGTCAGGTGCCTTAGGCACTATGCTACCAGAGCTCCTGATGAGGGAAGGTGAAGTAAGCAAGCCTAAGGTCCAACCTAAGTGAAAAAGGAAATGGAAGCTAGGGAAAACAAAAGATTGGGACCAGAGGTTGCAATGAACTCTAAAGCAGGTGTAATGGAAATAAAGGAGCAAAAGGACTCTGAGACTGGGAGGATAGGAGCCATCAGAAATAGAATGTTGGAATTTTCCATTTCAAAGCTGACAGAATGCCTTAATGGCAGCTCTGATATTTTGGCCATAGTGGATGGCTGAAGTTGATTATATCCTGGGAAAGAGCAAGTAGAAACAAATTCGTCTTTCCTGTGACTCGAAACTCCCTGAGTTATAAACATAACTCTCTCTCATTTATCCCAAATACATCATCGGCAGCATTTATTTTAACTACTGATTTGATTTTCAGCATTCTCAAATGATAGAGAATAATGAATATTTAGAATATATCCGCTCATCTAAAACTCATGTTTTTGCCTTTGCACTAACCATTCATCTATAAATTCTGCCCACTTATTAGTTGCATTATGTGTTTATTAGATACAAAAAGATTACAACATAAACTAGGCATTTATGACCTAAGGGGGTGCCAAAGGGGCAGGGAGACAGCATCTTCTGACCTCCTCTAACTACACAAGAGGAGAACAAAATCACCATCAGCAGCCCAATGGCTGCTCCTATGAGGCCAGACATGCTGCCACTCTCCAGCCCTCTAACCTTGACACCAACCATTCTTCCCACAGTACCCACCACCTCTCTGCTGCGTTCGATAATTCGCTGCAGTGGCATCACAGAACTCACAGATTATGGGGTTTATTAGGGAAGCAACAGGCTACAATTCAAGCTCAGGAACACACTCAGTCTCTCTCAGCCAACAGTCTCTCTCAGCAGTACATGTCTCTCACATCTCTCTCAGCAGTGAGTCTTTCTCAGCTGCAGTCAGAGAAATGCTCTTCTGCCTCCAGGAGGGCTCATTTTAAGCCTGGCAGAGTGGCAAAACTAACCAATCCCAACATCAGAATTCTATACACCTGAGAGGGAGCGAACTTCCCAGAAGATTACTTCCTGCTGTTCCAACAGAAATACACCAGGTGGATAACTTTAACAGTCAGCTGCTCAGTTGCTCACGGCAAAGTGGGAGTTACTAAGACTATGGCTAGAAAAGCCACAACACATAATTTACTACATCACAGGGGAAAATATATATATATATATCAAAGGTAACTATAATGCAAAGTTTTACCATGCTGTTTATACTTTTCCAGCAGATTTATGTTCCTAAATATTTTTGGCCAAAGCTTCTACTAAAAGCACTTTGCTTTGTTACAGTTCACACTACCTAGATTAGATAGTCAATAAATGATATTTATGATTACTGTTATTATTTTACTATCACCATCACTCAATAGATGATTGTAAAGCATGCAGGATAACAGGAAAATCAATAAACTTATGTTTATTATATAAAATCTACACATCAATAGTTTAAAATTGGCTTGTATGAGGTAGTTATATGTAATTGTTGATATTGTAATGATGTTTCCTTTTATAGAACAGATAAAAACCAGTTCATCTATATTACTTAACATCAATATGCTTTTATGTTTTTAGGAATCTTGTCTATAGAACAGCTCATCAGCCGGGTAGGTGTGATAGGGGTGACTCTCATGGCTCTTCTTTCTGGATTTGGTGCTGTCAACTGCCCATATACTTACATGTCCTATTTCCTCAGGTAATGAAAACTTTGTCTCTTTTTTTCCCATTCCTTCTTGAATACATATGTCATATGTTCTGGTTACCTAGTGCCACTATGAGAAGAATATACCACAAATGAGATGGCTTGAACAAACAGGAGTTTATTCTCTTACAGTTCAGAAGGCTAGAAGTCCAAGTTCAAAATGCCAGGCTCTAGAGTCTGGGTGAAAGCCACTCAACCTTGGGGTCCAGCTCTGCTTCCTGCTCCCGGCCCACTAGAGCTAGAGGCATTTCTACACTCAGACAGCTGCTGGCTGCTGAGGCTGACAAACCCAAGGTTGACAGGTAAAAAGGCACAGTCCCAATGTTACCAAACCACACAGCAGGCCATTAATTTAAGTCCACTGAAAGTCCCAAGGTCGGCAGAGCACAGCAGGCTCCTGAACAACGACACGGCTACATGCAGGGTCCAAGCATGCCATAGGCTAGAGACCATTTCCAAAGCTGCTGCTTATATATGGGAATCAGACCACATCCCTAAGGCAGCTACTCAGCTGCTTGTGGTAGATCCCATCATGAAGCTGATTGCCAGTCTCATTATGGGGAATAACTAGCACCAGCTGCCCAGCCACTCAACCAGGCCCAGCCAAGTTGACACACAAACATAACTACCACATCATATCATACCCATCATCATTCATACTTAAATATTAGCTCTATGAGACTCCATTTTTATTCTTCTCTTCCTCTGTCCCTATGAGCATTGTATTGGTTCTCTAGTGCTGCTATAACAGAAATACCATAAGTGGATGGCTTTAACAAACAGGGATTTATTCTCTTACAGTTTAGTAGGCTAGAAGTCCCAGTTCAAAGTGCCAGCTCTAGGAGCTGGGTGAATGCCCCTCATCCTTGGGCTTCAGCTCTGCCAGCTATTCTAGGCCCACTAGGCTGGAGGCTTTTTCTGACTCACACAGCTGCTGGCTGCTAAGGCTAATGAACCTAAGATTGACAAGTAAAATGGCACAGTCCCAAGATTAGGAGACAATGGCAGGCCACTAGTTCAAGTCCAAGAACAATCCCAGGATTGGCAGTCAACGTGGCAGCCCACTGAGATTGAGACTCAGGCAAATACAAGATCCAAATGTGCCAAAAGCTAAAGACCATTCCCAAAGTTTCTCCTTATATACCAGAAGCAAGCCATACACCAAGCAAAGCCATACACCTCCCTAGCTGCTCACAGTAGAGTCTACCATGCTGGTGATTACAATCTCATGGGGAATAGCTACATCCAGCTGCCCAGCCGCTCAAAACCACGACCCAACCAAGTTGACACACTACTTTAACTACAACAGGCATTGACCTGAGTATCTTTCTAAATAAGTCTTAATTGTTTATATTGGTTGCCCTTGTTATTTGCCCTACATTTGTTTATTTTTTAAAAGGCAAGTTTCAGTCCAAATTCCTCCTCCTAACACACTTACACCCTTAAAGGCACGTTTTTAGTGGACAACAATGTGAACTAATCCCAACTTCAGCAAATCAGTTCCTCCCAAAAGTAGTATAATAGGAGATAATACCAACTTTAAAGTGTGCTTAAACAACATGAAGAATGTAATCGATATCACTGAATAATAATGTAGTAATTATTGAATCAGCATATGTTTTATTATGTATATTTTTACCACAATAAAAAACAAATGGTAAAGGGGGAAAAAAAGTATGCATAAGCATACATCCTAAATGTCACTGGATCAAAGCCAAGAAAGACCATAAGAGAGCAAAGCACCTTTCAGTGTCCTGAGACCCCCAGAAATATTAACTACAAGAAATGAGAGAAAAAGTATTTTAGTTGATTATGGTTATTTTAATAACTCTAAAAAGACAGACCCTTGAATGGCTGGGTAACAATTGAGGGTTATGCATTACTCTGTATGCCTTGCATTATGCTTAAGGATGGGACCCCAAAACATTATTAACTGTTCGTGTTTTTCATAGGAATGTGACTGACACAGATATTCTAGCCCTGGAACGGCGACTACTCCAAACTATGGATATGATCATAAGCAAAAAGAAAAGGTAGGATGAGAGCACATTTAACAAAAGCTTGGACTCTGTTATAGTTTCTCAACATGAATATTTGAGTATGAATTGGTCCTGGCAGGGAATTTCATCCTGCTCATTTTTATTATACAGTACCATCAAAGATTTAGTGTCTAGTCTTGTTTGAAAGAAAGTTTTCAAATTCAACCTGATTTCTGTAATTTAGATACTTTTTCTTTAGATGAACTGTTAGAATAACTTTTATATTTGAAAGCATTCTACACTAAATGTTTTTAAAATTTCCTATCCTAGATTTTTTTTCTTTTTTTATTGTGATTTGGGTGAAAGTTTGCAGAGCAAATTCATTTTCCATACAACAGTTCTTACACATTTTGTTTCATGAGATTGACTGCAATCCCCATAATGTAACACAGCTGTCTTCCCAGTTCCTCTCTGGTTACCTCTTCCCTCTGTCCTTTTTTCCTATGCACTGAGCTATCTCCCTGTGCAAATGCTACCCTTCCTATCTCCCATGAGTGACTGTTCTAAGGAATGTACCTACTTAATGGAAATGTTTACTTTATATGCCTATTGTTTGGCTGGACGCCATGGAACTGAGTTCAATTCCAGGCCCGAAGGGTGACTAGGGGCCACCAGTCCCTATCCAACCAGTAAGGCTGGTCTTTTCTATGAGTTTTGTTCCACGTTTTTCTCCCACTCTGTGCAAGAGCTCCTGCACTGATCCCTTGCCAAGTGGTTGAAAATAGTAGCAGGCACCATCTAGTTTTTCTGGTCTCTGGGTCAAGTAGGCTGAGGTTCTCATAGTCCACTAGTACCTTGTACTGATTATTTCCATGCATCTTTGGTTTTCATTCTTATTTACTCTGGATTCAGACAGGCCAATGGCCACAGCTTATTAAGATTCCACAAGCTTTTAAGACCCCAGTCATTACTTAACAAAGTGGGATATAAAACAATATTTTTGGGTAATATGTTATGCTAGTTAAGCTTGATATCCCCCACGACCATGTCCTGAGCCCAGAGGCCCAACAACTTGCTCCCCCTGGGTAGTTGCTTGTGGCTATGAAGTTATCATAACTTTGCCCCCTATTAGTTCTATTTATATGGACATTCTTATAGCCTGTACAAATATGCCAACCTTATATATGGTCGTGGATATAGTCCCTTTTGCCTAGACACACATGATCATTCAGCTTGTCTACCTGTGTATCTACCCACAGATTAATGTTTATTATTAGTGGTAATGAAATACTGTGTATGTAAAAGGTTTGATCTTTGTTGTCTGTACCTCTTGTGTACCTCTCTGTGTCTGTCTTTTCCTTTTTGTGTTGGTCACTCACTTTTGGTATATTGCTTTTCCCTTCACCCAAATCAATATTTGTTTCTTACCTACCTAGTAATTTTCCCTCCTCTTCTCTCCCATCTCTAGTAACTAATAGAGTTTCCTTCCATATATAAACCTGTCCTTGATTTTTTACAGTAGTGGACTAATACAATATTTGTCCTTCTGTGATTGACTGACTTCACTCAACGTAACGTCCTCCAAGTTCATCCACGTTATGCGGTGTTTCACAGATTCTGCTTTATTCTTTAGTGTTGTATAGTATTCCATTGTATGTATGTACCGTAGTTTGGTTATCCATTCCTCTGTTGGTGAGCACTTAGGTTGTTTCCATCTCTTTGCTATTGTGAATAATGCCATGATGAACATGAGTGTGCATGTATCTATTTATGTCCTCGCTCTTACTTCTTTAGGATATATGCCTAGTAATGGGATTGCTGGATGTAATGGTATTTCTATTTCCAACTTTAAAACACCAATTTCATACCAATTTCCACAGTGGTTGTATCATTTGACAGTCCCACCAGCAGTATATGAGAGTTCTAATTTCTCTGCATCCTCACCAGCATTTGTTATTTTCTGTCTTGTTGAACTCTGCTATTAGTGCTGGGGTGCGATGGTATCTCATTTTTGTTTTGATTTGCATCTCTCTGATGGCTAATGATCATGAACATTTCTTCATGTGTTTGTTGGCCACCTAAAGATCTTCTTTGGTAAAGTGTCTGTTCATATCTTCTGCCCATTTTTTAATTGGATTGTCTTTCTCTTTGATGTTGAAGTGTTAGAGTTTTCTACAAATTTTAGAGATAAGTCCCTTGTCAGATATGTCATTGCCAAATATTTTTTTTCACAATTTATAGGTTCTTGTTTTACTCTTTTGGAGAAGTCCTTTGATGCACATAAGAATTTAATTTTTAGAAGGTCCCAATCATCTAGTTTATCTTCTGCTGTTTATGCATTTTTGGTTATGGTTGATAGTCTATTTATACTATAAATTAGAGCCCCTAAGTTTGCCCCTATTTTTTCTTTGAGAAACTTTATAGCTTTATGTTTCATTTAAGTCTTTGATCCATCTGAAGTTAGATTTTGTGTATGGTGTAAAGTATAAATCTTGTTTCATTTTTCTGCAAATGGATATCCAGTTTTGCCAGCACCATTTGTTAAAGAACCTGTCCTACATTTTTAAGGAACTTTGGTGGTGTAGTGGATAAGTCATTTGGCTGCTAACCAAAAGGTCAGTGGTTCAAACCCACCAACCACTCCATGGAAGAAAGATGGGTCACTCTGCTTCAGTAAAGATGTACAGCCTTAGAAACTCAATGGGGGTTGCTATTAGTTGGAAGGAACTCTGGTAGCATAGTGCACTGCTGACCAGAAGGCTGGCAGTTCAAACCCACCAGCCACTCCTCGAAAGGAAGGTTGGGCAATCTACTTCTATAGTGATACTACCTCAGAAACCCAGGGGAGGGTCGTTAGGAGTCGGGTCTGACTCTGTGACACATAACAACAACAACTAGTTGGAATCAACTTGATGGCAGTGAGTCTGGTTTTAGTTTGGTTCTACATTTTTACAAACCTGTTCATGTCTGACTTAAATCTTTTCAACATCCTTTTCTCCAACTACTTAAGAAATCCTTCAAGTCTTCTAATTACTGGTGGTGTTTTATAATTTAAAAAGTACTTTTAAAATGTGCGTTTTCCAAGTGGCATTTCATGACAACCTATAGATCATATAGTCTGGAATGAAAGTATCTGAATTTGAATCCTTGGTCTACTATTTACAGTGTGACCTCGTGCTGGTTACTTAATTAATCTCTTTGTGCTTTGATTTCCTCATCTCTAAAATGGGAATAATAGTGAGTTAAGATATAAAGCCATAGAACAGTAAGTAATACATTGCTAAAGGCCAGTACTGAATTTAATAATCATTATAGGATGATCATTGGTTGGTTTTAATGCTTTGCTTGCATTTATTTATTCACTTAATAATTTTGGAAAGCCTGGTTTATGCCAGGCAGTGTGCTAGCTTCTGGAGATAGAATGACAAGCAAGATAATTAAGTCCAGCCTTCATGTCTATTTTTTGTCTATTGTCTTTATTAAAGCTATTATTACTTATATAAATGTAATATAGAGGCTTTAAATGTCACAAGTGGTTTTGAATTCTGTATTTTTTTTCTTCTACATTTTTCTGTAGTAAGACCCATAGTCAAGTCAAAAATCCCTTAATGTAAGAGATAATGGTAGACCAATGATAAAGGGAACCCAGATTCACCAACTAATTTTTTGTCTCTATTTGGGAGCTCTGGTAGCATAGTGGCTAAGGCACTTGATGGCTAACCAGAAGGCTGGCGGTTCAAACCCACCAGCCACTCCTCGGAAGGAAAATGGGGCAATCTACTTCCGTAGTGATACTACCTCGGAAACCCAAGGAGGGGTCGCTATGAGTTGGGGCCAACTTGATGGCACATAACAACAACAACAACAATTTCTTTAGACTTTACTAGAGTGTTGCAGGTAGACATATATTTGTATACATTTATTTACTTACATATATTTTGTTTACAGACATTCTCTGTAGTCCATTTACATAAATAGATGAATGTAGACTTATTAAACAATATGAGCAGGATTATTCAGTATTGAAATATACTTCTGTAGGAACAATACTACTTTGATTGTCAAGATCATTGTCCCTTTTCCTGTATTTCTTTTTTCCATATACAGAGATGAATATATTCAGTAAATATATAAAGATGAAATCATGACCTCTGTTAAGTATGAATGTGTACTTTTAAGCCATTTAATCACTAGCCATGATTAGGAATTAGCTGTGATATATACCCACACTAGTCCGTTGCTCCTATAGACCTTGTCTAGTTAGGGATGGTTTGTGGTCCTTCAATAGGTCTTATGAATTTGAGTAGCCCTAAAAAGAGTCAACCTCCCAACTTGAGTTAATTTCATTAGCACAATCCTTTACCTAGTGGAACTAACAGGGCAGATTAGACAGCTAACATGCTAGCACTTGAGCCCTTGGGAGTCATATACCCATTGCTGTCAAGTCAATTCTGACTCATAACAATAGTACCTTGCTATTTACCATAATATGTTGTTGTTGTTGTTATGTGCCGTTGAGTCAGACCCGACTCAAAGCGACCCCTCCTTGGGTTTCCAAGGCAGTATCACTACGGAAGTAGATTGCCCCATCTTCCTTCCGAGGAGTGGCTGGTGGGTTTGAACCGCCAACCTTCTGGTTAGCAGTCAAGTGCCTTAGCCACTGTGCTACCAGAGCTCCCATAATATAGAAAAGCTTTTTCTCAAACATTGATCACTGGGGAGGAGTAGTGAACAGAAAACCATCTTTTGATTTAATAGTAGAGGATCATAGTGAGATGACATACAAGAAAAATAACATCTGTTATATACAAAAAGGTTAATGGCTGAAAATAGAGGGAGAAAAGAAGCACAGTATCTTCTTATTTAGAGCACTGAATAGAAGATGAGGTTTATAGTAGTTGGGAAACATTTATCAGATACTGAATTCAGTTACTGTGGACATGCTGCATTAGTGATCGAAACCTTTCAGATTTTTTTCAAGTTGAAAGGATTAAGTGACTTATTTTGTTTGTCTGCTTTTTGTTTGTTTTTCTGTTGCCTTTGATATTAAAGGC